TGTAATGGGTTGTCATTGATTTGAAAGATCTTATATGCCCAAAAGTCATTATAGAATGATATTGCTAATAATGTATGATCCTATAGGGTCACACTTTATAACAAGTTACCATTAGTTGATTATTTATTAGTATAATTTGATTATTAATAAATATATCAACGCTTGTATTTGATTAGAAAATTATTATTTCATGGAAATAATGTTTTGCTAATTGGGTATTTATTATCTATGGAAATAATATTTATTAGAGAAATAACAACTTATGAAATATATCATAAAGTATGATTATTTATAAGTTATATTTATGTCTTAATAAACTAGTTAGAGTTTATTTATATAAAATGTAGTTATATATATATATATATATATATATATATATATATATATATATATATATATATATATATATATATATATATATATATATCAAGGTTGTAAAAAACGCTCGACGTTAGCTAGTCGGTGGACTATGGTTAAGGGATTAATCAACTAGGCGAAGATTAATCGGGGGATTAATCGGAGACCATTAATTGCTAATTTGATGAATTTTAAAAAAGCAAATATGACCAATATCATAACATAGTTCATAAATATCACTAATATTATAATAAAATAGGTTCATATGATTAGTGCAATACTAAACATTCCTCAAATGGTTTCTATTGAGATAGAACTTCTTCAAAGTGTAAAAATTTCATCGTTTTCTATTGTAAAGCCCGCAGATTCGGGCTAGTCAATTTAGAGATAATAAGCGTCAAAAAAGACTTTCTGATAGAAGATTATTTAGAATAAATAATCTTAACCAAATTATAGTATATGTCACAAGGATTAAGTACATATAAAGAACGCTGAAATCCGACTTATAACGAAAAAGTTATGACCCGTCGAAGTTTCGCGATTAAACCGACATGGCTCTGCGTATCATAAAAAGTAAATTGTTGATAAAATACTTTTTAGACTTAGCAATATAAACAAAATTCATATTAGACGTTAAACCGAGAGCGTGCATATAGAGAACGTCCAAATCTGACTTCATTTGAGGAAGTTATGATTTTTTTAAGATTGAGCATAACAGTATACAACCCCGAAATCGAATTTTAGATCGATCGAACATTAGCCGACACAACCTAAACGAGAATTGAAGATATCATTAATAGGAGTTCAACGATATAAAGACAGTCGAAAACGGACGTCAGATGACAAAGTTATAAATTTTTAACGGACTTTAACTGTCTAAGCCTGTTAAAATATAACTTTAAAAATAAATTCAAAATTAGCCGACGGAGTCTAAACGAAAGTTGTATATCACATAGATACCTACACGTGGATATAAATAATGTCAAAAACGGAGCTCGTATGCGAAAGTTATGGATCTTAGAAGATAATTAATTTTTGGATTAACCAACGAGTGACACGTGGCAAGATCTAGCCCATACCTTCTTCCCCACGGCTTGCCACCAGATTTCGACATGTGGCACATTATGCCCAGCGTAATTTTTGAGTACGCCCAACGTAACCCTTAAAAATCCATTACGCCCCGCATAATGTTGAGTACGCCCAGCGTACTGGGCAGTGGGCAACCTATAAATAGAGATCATTTTTCACTCATTTCTCCACACCTCTTAAACCCATTCTCTCTCAAACACCCCCAAAGCCTCTATTTCTTTCCCTAGCACCTCCTAGGTGTTAGTAGCAATGCCCGGAGTGCCAGAAGGCCCCAAGAAGAGGAGCTTTCGGCTCAGAAGTTCTACCCGCGCAGATCCCGGTTTCTCGCTAAACCACCTGTCAGTTAAGTTATGCTTACCGTACTTTAAGTATAACTTATGTTTAAGTTCATTATCGTTATTATGAACCTATAAACAAGACTTATCAACGATTCCAAGTCGTTATGTTGATTGATCTACTTACGAGGATGATCTCTAGGCTGGATTTAGTGAGGTGTTTAAAGTGGGATTTCCAAACAGTATACTTCGTATACCAAACGGACCCTACCTCCGATATGATCCTACCTGGTTTTTCCTTACTTGATAGATATTGAAGTAGACTTTTGAGTTAATGACGAATCTAGACTAATAATTAGTCGCAATAAATATTAGACTAAAACTTAGAGATAATAATACTAGGTTTCGTCAAAAGAAAAGACAATTGCTAGAAGCGAAGCGTTTCCCGAATTTCGAGTCATCACTTTAACATGTGAATTCATAGTCCCTTTCATGAACATGATTTTACTACAAGTATTAATAAAATTATTAAATATATGTTGAAAGTTTATATGGGAGTTATATGCTTATTATCTGGAATTATGTGTTATATGTATATTTGATGATATACTCTATGCGAACCAGACATGGTTCTATATGTGTTAAGATGTATTTACATGATAGGGAAAATGTCACTGTAGCCCCACGAACTTACACATTTTGGTTTAAAAGGTCCCTTATGTTATTTTTTGGTTTTATAAGGGCATGAAGTCACATTTAACCGGCTTTTAAGGCCATTTTCTAAAAAGCGAAAGGGTCACCCGGTGACCCCCATCCCAATCAGCAGGTTTTCTTTTATATGTCATTAAAAAAGCCACCTCATACATCCAAATTACATGCCATGTAATGTATCGTTAAATGAGACCAACCTTTCCTCTGCAAGAAATATTTTTCTTTACTCGGTTTCATCTTCCCTTTCTTCTCTTTTCTTCTATTGTTCCTCGAAAAAAGTCTCCCTTGGATTCTTGTTATGGCCATCTACATGAAGATCGATCTTCATTTTGCTGGTTTCTTTACGAGGTATCCAGTGATCAGTTACTCAGATGGAGCGGAGCAAAGGTTTGAGGATGTGGATTTTTCTGGAATGGACAAAAACGAATTTCTATTGTTCATTCAAAGATTCACAAACGAGACATGCGTTAATGTGTACTTTTGCATGCCCGATATTGAGTTCCCTGATAGATTGAGGATAATAGCAACTGAGAAAGACTACCAGGAGTTGATCGAAATAGGGTATGATTGTGGTTGTGTAATTTCTGTGTATATGGATCATGATGGTGTTAATGCTCATCAATGGATTGTTGATGAGATAGCTGAAGTATGCACCCCGAGGACAAGTTGTATGGTGTAGGTGAAGTAATAGAAGAGTTACATGTTGAGACAGAAGGATGCATTGACCTAGATGAAGTACAAGTGCAAGGTAATTTGGACTATAACATTGAAGACGGTGATTGCATTCCAATGAACAAGACCTTGAATGATGCGTTTTTTAACAAGTTTTGCCCCAAGGACCAGCCAACTTCAGATAGTCCACTTCACGAGGATCCATATGATCAGATGGATGAAAACACACTAATTCATGAGGAGGTAACAACTTTTAATGAAAATGTTCATTGGAAAAACCAAAACCCTGTGTTAGGAATGAGATTTGAAAGTCCTAAACAGTTGAAACATATGTTGTGTAATTATGCTGTTGCTAAAGGGTATCAATTGTGCTACAAAAAAAATGATACTAGGAGGCTTTTAGTTAAATGTTGTTCAGGGCAATGCATGTTTAGATTGTGGGCTTCATGGATGAATGAAGAAAATTCTTTCCAGATTAAGTCTCTTATAGATGAGCATAATTGTGCAAGAAATTTTAAAATGGGGTCAATTGTAAACTATGCATGGATTGGTAGCCATTTCACAATACAATTCTTACAAAAACAAAAAAATGAGTGTTAGGCTACTTAAGGAAGAAGTGAAACAAAAATTTGGAATTGATGTGAGTATGGGACAGTATAGGAGAGCAAAGAAATATGCAATTGAACTAATTGAAGGCACACTACTTGAGCATTATGTCAAGCTTTGGTCATATGATGAGGAGGTAAGAAGATCCAATCCAGGATCAACTGTCAAAATGGATGTCAACATTATGCCTGATGGGAAGACATATTTTAGTAAGTTTTATATATGTTTTGAGGGGCTGAAGCAAGGTTGGAAAGGCAGTTGTAGAAGAGTAATAAACTTGGATTGTTGTTTCTTAAAGGGGTTATATAGTGGAGAGTTGATATGTGTCGTAGGAAGAGATGCTAACAATCATATTTTCCCAATAGCATGGGCAGTTGTTTGTGTGGAAAAAAAAGAAAATTGGAAATGGTTTTTGGAGAATCTTAACGATGATCTAGAAATGGAAAATGTTTTTAGTATTACCCTGATGTCAGATCAACATAAGGTATGTCACTTACTATACAACTTAATGTTATTTCTTAATGAATTTATATTTTCTTAACATATGAATTTAAATTGTGTAGGGGCTGTTGGAGGCTATGAAGGAAGTATTGCCTACTGCTGAACACAGTCAGTGTGCAAGGCATATTGTTGCCAACTTTAGGAAAAGATTCAGTGGTGTACATTATGAGAGGATGTTTTGGAAGGCATGCAAGGCATCCACTAAGCCTTTATTCAATTCAGCCATGAAGGAAATACAACTACTTAATCCTATAACATTTGATTACCTTATGGAAAAGAACCCAAAATCATGGCGTGGAGCTTTCTTTCAAGAGGGGAGGATGTGTGATGAAGTTGAAAATGGATTATCTGAAAGTTTTAACAATGTCATTAAAGATGCAAGAAAAAAACCAATAATCACAATATTAGAAGAAATTAGGTTGTATGTTATAGAGAGACAATTCAATCCGACCATCAAAGGTTGTTCATGGCCTGATTATAAACCATATCCAGCTATTACAATCCTACTGAATCAGTTGAAAAGAGCTCAAAGGTATTAACTTTAATTTTGAATTTTGATTGATTACTTACACTATATACTAACTTGTATACTATTTAAACAGGTATTAGCAGGTTTTACCAACTAGTTTAAACCAGTTTAAAACAAGAAATTTGGCAGAGTCGTATGTTGTGGATATAGATAAGAAGACTTGTTCATGTAGAGTGTGGCAACAAAATGGGAATGGATGTGTGCATTCAGTTGCAACTATCTCATACCTATATAGTGATGTTGGTAATTATATGGATCCAATGTACTATGTAGAAATTTACAAGAAAACCTACAAGTATCCAATGCATGGGATGAATGGTAGAAATATGTGGCCATCTATGGAATTCATTGCACCTTTGCCACCATTGAAGAGAAAAATGCAAGGTAGACCTAAAGTTAATAGAAGAAAGGATGCAAGTGAAAGGGGTGCAAGACATATTTTGTCAAAGGTTGGGAAAAAAATTATGTGTAGTGTATGCAAGCAAGTAGGACATAACAAGGTTACATGTTCTCAAGCTGAAAAACCAACAAAACTCAAGGTAAAGAAAAGGAAGAGAACAGATGGTAATGATGGGGAAGGAAGCAGTGGTAAGAAGGCAATGGATGGTAAAGATGAGAAAGGAACTAGGGGTAATAAGGGCACTAATGGTAATGATGGGGAAGGAAGCAGTGGTAAGAAGACAATGGATGGTAAAGATGAGCAAGGAGGTAGGGATAAGAAGGTAATTATCAAGAAACGAAAGAAGTCTGAAAGAATAATCAAGAAAAAACTTGCTACAAGGGTTGAGGGTAAGAATGGGGAAGGCAACACTAGTGACAAGCCAATAGAACTTGAATATGAATTAAATTTCAATGTCTGTCATTATGTACTTGTTATTTAGGATCAAATTGTGATGTTTCAGATTAAGTGTGGATGTTTGGTGTTATGTACTTGTGATGTTTCGAAATAAGTTTAGATGTTTGGTGTTATGTACAACTGTTTGTAATGTTAATGGTTTGAATGTGCTTATGATTGTGTGCTAGTTATGGACGTGCAAGGTATTGGGGTCCATTTTTGACATTAGTTTAACTGAATATGGTCCCATTTGTTCAAGTTGAAGCTATTTCCAATGTCACTATCAAAAAATAAACTACAAATGTAACATGGGATCCCATCTAACATACCCATTGTTTTTTTATTAAATTAAAATAAAGGTACATGGAAAATAGAGTCCTTTCCATTAAAAGGAAATTAACATCAGCAAACTATTACAACTTGTAAACAATTATGCTAAAGAAAACAATCCAACTAACAACTAAACACATCTTCAGCTTCCAAATCGTTGATTCAAGCTTCTTTTTTGACCCAGCCAAACCTGCAATCATAACTGCTTAAACACTCATATTCTTAGTGTCTTCTTCTTCTACCCAACAAATAAAACCATTACGAGGTCCCTAACAAAATGAATTTTCGAGTGTGAGAGACTGAGAATGGAACAAACTAATAAATTAGGGCTATAGTGAACAAGCTAACACACACCTTAGTGGGGCAAACATAGAAGGGTCTTCCAGGGTTGGACAAAGTGGAAGACATTCTTATTATAGCGACACATCCACACGAGCATTTCACCATTTTTACTTCGTTAATTCCAAGGGCTCTATAATTCCGAAAGCAAACAATCACAGGGAAAAAGAAAGGTAATGTCGAGTAAGGAAGTAAACTACTTATAAAGAGGAAATAACAAAATTACCCCTTTGTTTGACCTGATGCACATCTATCATAGTTGGTGCACCAAACACACTTAATTAACAGCAACCAAGGCAAACAAAAGTTACCCTAAATCAACACCAATGAACGCAACAAATTATAACCCATTCATTTCAATTTACATTTCACTAATATCATACCAAAATGCCTGTTATAGGTAACCAGGACTTCAAAAAACATCCAAAATGTACCATTACAACCACCACTGGAGTACCACTACCTACACTAACTGGATTACCACTAACACAAACGAAACACACATAATCCTAATAACATATATAACAAGAAACACCATTAAACCTAAAAGTAGATTACGAGCACTAGATTAGCATACCACTACAATCTATTTCCATGAGATTCACTTATTGATTATCAAGTGAATGATGAAAATCATGATCAGGAGCATGACGGCGACAACACCCATAACCAACAGTACAATCGCTTTAATCTGCTTCTCAACATGGTCGAACCTTTGCCGCATGTTGAGGACATCCACCCTGGAATGAAGGTAATCGCGGCCCATCTTCTCCTTCATACGCTCGACCTGACCTTGTTGCTCAGCTATCTTTTCACCACAGTCACAGAAGATCGTGTGCAAATCGTTCAAGTTAAGACTGTCTGTTGAGCTTATCGAGTTATTGGAGTTTATAGAATCTGGTAATGGTAGTGGGGTAGGATCCATGGAAGACAGTGAAGGGAAAAGGGAGTATTGTCGAATGGTTGTCGGCTAGTGTTTGGCCGGAAATGGTAACAATAATTTTGGGTTTTGTCCAACAGATCCTTCAATTATATACTAGGGGACCGCTGAACCCTTATGGCCCAAGCAAGCCAACTCGTTCGTGAGTCGGTGACGTGTAATCCGAGTTGGGTGAATAGACTTGCTAATTGAGTTGGGTGATTATTATGCAAGGAAACCGGTTGAATTGGGTCAAAATCCCAATTTAGTCGGTTAAATGTGACTTCATGCCCTTATAAACCAAAAAATAACATAAGGGACCTTTTAAACCAAACTGCGTAACTTCGTGGGGCTACAGTGACATTTTCCCTACATGATAATAATAATAGAAGTATTATAAATGAAAAGATAAATGTATGGTAATAATTAATACTCTATATAAAATATTACACTAAATTAGGATAGTGTTGCCGAAACAGAGTTGGTATTGAATGATGATTATAAGCATTGTAGGCTTGCCTAGTGATAAAATGAGACTTAAAATAGATGCTTAGTTCAATTAAGTTTGGATATTGGGTAGCATCTTATTAAGGGTACATGTGTGATTGGAATAGAGAGTAGAAACTATGTTCGATGAGATTGATGATCGATGGAGTATGTCCTATGTACAAAAGTACTTTCTATGTACCAAGTCTTTTTCAAAGCTCTGTATCTCAGGTGTTGCTTGTGTCGGGGTATTATTATGTTCTGAGGTACGGGTCCTACTCCTACCAGAGTACTATAATGTGCCAGAAGTACTATCATGTACAAAGTCCTTTTTGAAACTATTATGTGTCGGAGTACGGGAGCGTACGAGAGTAATTTATTAGTATTTCCCCATAGTTTTTGTTTTGACAATCTTTGTGTGTCAGCATCTCCTTTCACGAAGTAATTGAGGGAACTTCGTAGTCTGGCTAATCGAGTGTGTCAGTAATAGACCACTACTAGGTATGTCTGATGTTATATTGTCGGATAGGGTAAGTCTAGGGGTAAAATACCTCACGGTGTCAGACCACTGTTAGGCATAATTATCTAGATAACCACCCCTGACTTAATTTTCTTGTTGTTTTTACGAACGGAGGTTCGTGGTGAAACTTATTCCATTCCCCCATTTGATGTATTTATTGATCCTCGTTTGCTGTCAGGGAATTTCTGAAGCAACGTCGTCAGTTTGTTGTTCATATTAATCCTTTAGGCTAGATCTTATAAGATCGTTGTATAGGATCAATAAGTGGGAATCGACAGGATGGGATAAATTGTTTTAGAGATATGATATATCAGTGTTAATGATAATATTTCGTTTTGTAGGTTTGAGATATACATTATCATCACATTGTGAGATTGAAATCCCTATATACTCACCAGGTTTCCCAACCTGACCCACTCAGTTTATTGTATCACATGTAGCGGTATGAAAGATACATTCTGCTGAGGGCTTCAACGAGTATTAGGCCAATAGTTTAATTACTGTAAGGCTTGTAATATTTATGATGCTTATGTTTCTGTATTCACGATGACATCCCAATGTTTTAAAATAAATAAAATACATTTCTTCGGAAATGCTTTGATAATATCATTATCATGTTTTCTGGGAACAAATTCCGCAATGTTATTCTTCAAAAAGGATACTCTGATTTTTAAATAAGCACAAACAAATCGGTCTTTTCTGACCGTGAAGTTGAGGATGTCACATCTATTGCTTCACTCATTTTGTAGGCAGAGATTAATCGCTAGGCGCCCTTTGATCGGTCGGGTAGCGCCTAGGGTTTAGTCGGAGATTAATCGGGACCTAGTCAAGATTTTTATAACAGTGATATATATATATATATATATATATATATATATATATATATATATATATATATGACTAGTTATATGTTATATATATGTTAGAATCACTCTATATAAATGATAGGCTTTTATATAAAGTTGGTATATATATATATATATATATATATATATATATATATATATATATATATATATATATATATATATATATAGCATCTAGTCATGAATAAAGAAAGAAGCACACCATCACTTGTCCCTTTGACCATGGTGGACGAAAATCAAGAAGCATGGGCTTTGGTTGTTTTTTTCTTTGTTTAATATACATCCCATACTTGTTAGAAAGGTGTTCCATGCTTTTACTTTATGCCAACATCCTTTGTCTATATTGGATGGATTTAAAAAGGGTGGTCTTGCAACTAAATGAGACTAGTTCTTGGAAGCTTCATACCTCTCCTTTTGAAGATGAAAACCCGAGAGCATGAAGGCTTTATGGGGCTGCCAAATTTCGAGCTTTACAGACTCTCTTTCTCCTCCATTCTCTTGCAAATTGGTGCTAGATTTATGTCCCTTAGTTGCTTCACCTTAGAACATATATTTGGTATATATTTTTAAGGCTTATGAACAACTAATACAAGTGTATACTAGCATGTTTTGATTGTTCTACTCTTGCTTGGTGGATACTTCTAGAGAGCTCTTAATTTAGAGCTTAATGTCATATTCATCAACTTCCAACCTCCCATGAGGATAAAAGTCTTCAAAGGTTGTTATGCTTTCTCTTCTATGGTTGTTTTAATCTGTCTAAGTCTAGCAAAATGATCTTTTGGTGGGAATAAAACTAGTTTTATTTTTGTTCAAATCTTAAGTCTTCTGTTGCATTGATTATGTTTTTGAAAAAACTTTTGAATAAAAACCAAACATGATTTTGATATAATTTGGTTTGATTTGTATTTGTTGTGTTCAATTCTTCATGTTTTCCACTATTATTCAGTTTACCTTGTATGTACATCAACTATTTGATGAAATGCTCCATAGAGTGTTTTTATAATTTTTATATGTTATTCACATGTGAATAATATATAGAATTTCATATTACTTTCTCATCTTAATAAACATATATTGGTTCACATGTGAATATATATATATATATATATATATATATATATATATATATATATATAGTCTTTATGTAGCATAATAAAAAATGAATATTACATGAAATTTTTGTTAACATGGTATAAATACATGTGTATATTACATGATATATTCTCTTGATATGATATATTCATGTTTGAAATTATATAGCATCTAGTCATGAATAAAGAAAGAAGCACACCATCACTTGTCCCTTTGACCATGGTGGACGAAAATCAAGAAGCATGGGCTTTGGTTGTTTTTTTCTTTGTTTAATATACATCCCATACTTGTTAGAAAGGTGTTCCATGCTTTTACTTTATGCCAACATCCTTTGTCTATATTGGATGGATTTAAAAAGGGTGGTCTTGCAACTAAATGAGACTAGTTCTTGGAAGCTTCATACCTCTCCTTTTGAAGATGAAAACCCGAGAGCATGAAGGCTTTATGGGGCTGCCAAATTTCGAGCTTTACAGACTCTCTTTCTCCTCCATTCTCTTGCAAATTGGTGCTAGATTTATGT